CACGACACAGTAGCTAACACGTACATCCCCGGATACAGAATTGACAAGGGTATCGGAAGCTTCCAGGACTCATGGTTTATATGACCCCGACATGAGATGACGCAACTGGATACCGTTATTGTATACATATGTATATCTCTTTTCAGAATCATGTTTTTGATGCAAGAAAGTTAGGCGGGTTCGACATTTCGACAACGAGAGCTTTCCTCCCTTCTCGTATATATAATCATTGGGGTGGCATTTTTTACCGAAAGTCGATCTCAACCCCTAAAACATGTAAATTTACTCTGAACACCTTACTTGAACTCCAAATATAACCAACAAATTGTCAGGTCCCTGTGGTTGCAAGGACTAAAACCCCAAACAAAAACCCCAAAAAATATTATTTGAAAACTTGTCAGAGATTGATGTTTTTACAGAAGGGTACCAAAGCTTACTCACAGAAAAGTTTTTCTCGGCTGCCATGGTTGTGTTATTGTGTGTTAAATGTATCTAAATGAACACCATGTCTTGTTTTTAATGAATCAATAAAATTATTTCTGCGTATACAAGTTTTTCTTTTCAAAGAAAGAACATGTTTTCCTCGTGAATGTATTTTTCTGGGTCATAAACAAAAGAAGCATGATCGTGAATACTATGTTTTAAAATATTGATTAAGAAACAAATATCCTTGATGAATAAAAGCTGTCATTTCGGGCCGTTAAAATTATCATGGGCGTAGTATAAAAATTGCAAACAGCTGAGAAAATAATAGATTGAACATTATCGTATTTTCTTCATGTTTCCCTTTTACATTACGAAAATAAACCGAAAAGCTTGCGTCACTCTGAACTTGTTACATTTTCTATAACTAATTATCACAATGTGTGTTATATAGAGTCGGTGCATATGAACAGTTCAGTGAGGTGACACTACGAAGAACGATGTGTTTGAAAACAAAGATCCAACGAAAAACAGAAGACTAAATAAAACTCCAGCACCCCGTACACGCACACTGAATGTGGAGGTATTTAGCAAGGTGGCATAGGACTAGTAGTTAGACCCTGGTATTGTATGTCTATGTATTGTAAAGCGTATTAGAGGGATCCATCCTATCTAGATGGACTCGGTATCAAATGTCATAACGTGGTCATATTGACGATACAAACGGCATACTTTGGCGTCCTTCGTGACTGCGCGTCCTTCGTGACTGCCGACACTCAATGACCAGACTCAGCGTAATTCACGAAAGAAGCTGCACATGTCATAAAGTATACAGTATTGATATATCCTGGTATAATATATGTAGGTATGGTTATCTCAATTCCGCCTGATCACACGTCGGGTTCCCCCGAGTCCACAGTTACATTCAGTTTTAGTCCTAATGGCTCGGGGCCCTACAGCTGGTGAAAAGATGTACTTACTAAAACCCACATTTGCCCCTGACTAATGTGTGTGATTGCTGGGGAGGTGGTAAGTGATCTATCAGAACAGTCACTGATTTAGACGTCCGATCTGGTCAGTGGTCAGTCACCTGGCATGTCCACCAGATAGATACTACGGACATGGAGAGGATCGGCCCGGGGTGACCTCGGTAGGCAGGTAAGTCAATGGAGCTCATAATAATGTTTTAAAAAGTCAAAGTAAATCTTAGTAAATCAAAGTAAATGATTTTTGTAAGAAGATTTTAACTTTCCTTATGTCGAAGTGCGACGATAATAAAAGAGTTCGATTTACTTTCATCTAACGGTCATTTATACAGTTCTTCGATTAAGTAAAAGTACGTTAGTATGAGATTGTTTATACGGGTCTATTGCCTAAAAGTAAATCATGGTAATCGTCCTGTATTCACGCATAGAAACCGCATGTCCCAGGGATATCTTACAACCAAGACGGGCTTTTGAAGGACAAAACTAGAGAACAACAAAATACGACAAATAGGCAGTCTGTGTGTAGTAACATCGGACTAACAATTTATTAATTTATTTTTTCCGTTGTCAATCTATCCCTGACTGACACATATTGTCAGTACTAGGTATGACAACTCTGAAAAGGTAGATGTCTCTGAAAACATTTAAAAAATTAAAAGTAACCAACTTCCGTTATTAAAATGACTGTATATAGGACATCGCTTCCTTATTCCAAAAACGAAATAAGAACGCAAATGTTCATATATTGTATTGTTTGTAAGTTTCATTTAGCCATCTCTAATTAAAAGAAATAACAACATGGTAATTAAGATATCGAAAAAATAGCAGGAACCCATTTTTAATTGAGTTGTATTTGAAGCTTGACGTTACATAAACAAAACTATACAACGTTCCGGTATACATTGAACAACCTAAAGACTATAGAATTGATACAGAGATTACACATATGCATATGTTATATATTCTAAATAAACCGTAAACAATGTATAAAAACAACAATATGTAACGTGCACACTTTTTTTTCTACATTCTTTATGTATTGATCTCCTCATAATAGTACTGCTATGTAATCGTGATTTATAAGCCGAGCGAGTGATGTCGCACTCCAGATAATAAGACGAGCGCCCAAGATAATAAGTCGAGTGATCGAGATAATTACTATTGTTTTTTTTTCAAGTTTTATTATATCCAAATGCAATACAGCATATATGTAACAAACATACATAATTAAATATTCAAAATTCATATGTGATGTACAAGATGGCGGAGGACAATTCCATTCAAATATATATGCCTACAGACATGTAATAATGATATCACTTGCAGTTTTACAGCATGATTTTTCGTAAAGTGGTGAGAAGTATATAACAATATAATCAAAGTGTGACTTTACTACCTGTATATATGTGACGACATGAAAGGATGACATCATAATGAAAACACTACATATAACTTCAAACAGCCAGAAAGAACCATGGGATGTCATTGAAGTACTATTTAACGCGCTATTAACGAATCTTAAATAACTATTATTATACATGTACACTTATAACAAAGTAGTTTCAAATAATGTTTTAATATAATATCACTACTGAGCGAGGAGAATTTTCCTTTTAGAAGTAGCGTGCCACAAATATTTACCCAGTCTATTTAAAGATTTAACACTTTTACAGGTAAATAATTCTATTAGTTTATAGACACTTGGATGTCGATAATAATACTGTTTGATGTATGTTTTTCTTAAATCAGAATATGCAGGACAAAGTAGTACAAAATGTACTTCATCTTCGATATCATTTTTATCGCAGACTGTGCATGTCCTTAATGTACCACCGTAATAGTCAGCTATACTAGTCTATCATTATGCGTCATGTTCAGAAAATGCGCATACCGCAGATGAATTACTGGTTTTGTTTTTGTTTCCACAAAAAAAACAAGATGATAGTAAAATCCGTTCAATATTTTTTTGCATGACCGACATGAGGTACTTATTAATTTCATTTTCATTTGTATGGCAATACATATGTACTTAAAATTTATCACGATGAAATGTATGCAAGAAACAAAGATTATGTAATTAAATAGTTAATTCCAATAAATGCTTACAGACAACTCTTTCGAAATTTCGAACCACAGTACAAATTCTGTTTTAATGTTTTGAAAACATAAATATCTAGCAAATTGATGTGTTTAGTTTAATTTGCTGGACAGGTCGTGTTGTTTGTTTGCGAACGGTTCATTTACTAGTAGTTGTCCTTTTGTTACTAATTTGAATTCCAGCTTTTGTCATTCTGTAAAGATGCTGTGAAACATTATGTATTCATATTTATTTATTTAGATTGATCTGACAGAAGCCATGTATACCAAGTATGCAATACTGTTACTTTTGACCTTGACCTTCGACCACACTCTCTGTCAACAGTTCAGCAAGGCGGTATTTCTGTCTGATGACGTCACATGTAAGATTCCTTTGGTATTTATTACATTTTTGCCAGTGAAATATCGGATTCTATCAACTTGATAAAATTAATATCTTTCACACTGTGACAAATATCAAAAGTGATATTTTCACAGTGAGAAAATATCACTTTTTAGTATTGACCGATCATAACGGTATCTTCTATTCGCTGTATTCAAAGGCAACGATATTTTGTCACAGATTCACATGAAGCGACGGTAAAATAAGTGGTTGTTATGGTAAATGTTTGGTACACAGACTTAAGTATTTACATATATATATCAGTAATGACATTTTTATAAGCAAACATACCAGAAAATAGCAGAAAACGTCGTGAAAAATATCAAAATATTAGCCACACTCGTGAAATATATTTGTTATTACTGAAGACACCATTAAATATCCTCTATATATTCAAATAATGAATATATCTCCGTGTTTTAACTCCCTAGCACGACGTGCCTGTCAGTTTATACCATAGTAGTGTTTATAAGTTAATTTGATATGCCATTCCATCAAATGAATAACCTTATTTGGTCACATTCACGATTGTTCAGTGTCACAGGGGTCAATTGTGTCGAAAACTTCCAAACAAATTCTTCTAATGACCCGTGAGACTTACAGTAGTAATATGCTGCTTGCAGCTTGCTGGGTTGATGGGTAAAATTTGTTAAAATAATTGACATTGATATATATTCAAGGTCATTTGAGTAAAAAAAACATTTAACGACCTTTTCTAATGAAATACAGTGTCGTCTACATATCGATATTTGGTCTATAACTTTTAGGAGGGAGAAGTATATTAAGTTGTGCGGATACATTACCTTGATCCAAATGGATGTCAACTGTTTGAAAACAAATGACCTTCATCCGTATTAAAGGTCACGACTCAAATATATTAAATATGTTAATCTTAGCCCACTGTCAAAGTCACATTGCAAATTTGACCCACATTTTAAGTTTCCGGATAAGCGATAGAGGCTTTATGGTTTTATGTCACATTACAAACATGATGTTTTGTAATAAGCCATTTACGTCTTGGTACTTAAAGCGTTGACTTATTGAAGAAATAAGGTGTGACCTCTTTATCCACAGACGGCTGTCGTGGGTACGTTGACTTAGTGCTGGTCGTGGACTCGTCTGCCTTCACTCGCTACACCACTCCAGGTGGAATTCCAATATGGCATCCAGGTATCGCTGTTTTTGTTAACAGTCTTCTCCGAGTCCTTCAAGTGAGCCCTGCGTCATTTCGGGTGGCCGCCATATTATACAGCACAGGCATTGATGACATCATGCCTTTCAGTGTACATCAGGTCTACACCCTTCACACGTTCGGCTTCCTTCGTCCAGGGTACGGCATCTCGTCTACAGCGAAGGGTTTGTCGGAGATGAGGAAGATGCTCACGTACTACGGTCGTCCTGGCGCTGCCAAACGTGCCGTCCTTCTCAGCGCCTCCCATTCCCACGACCACCAGGCTGCGCTGGCAGAAGCAAACCTTGCAAAATCCATCGGTATAGATATTCTCTCGGTGGGATTCGGGCCTTTCCGGGATGTTGGGGAATTGAACGAAATCAGCCCCGGCTGGGTGTTGGAAGTTCCTGATGCTGGTATGCTCTATGCTCTTGTTGGAAGGATAGCAGCAAGATTATGTAAAGGTAATTTTATAACTTTTCTATTCTGATGCTGTAATAAGTACATAACTTCGTTTCCCACCGCAATTTAATAGGAGACATGGTTTTTGTATAAAGAAATGATCTCCTGGTCAAAACTACTACCCTTATGCGTTTTCTAGCTCAACTGACCCAAAGTTCAAAGTGAGAGCATTTCGTGACGTAGTGCTTGTCATTCGCCCGTTGTTCGCTGTTCCTTTAAATTAAATATTTACCGTGTCAAGAACGGCTAAATGGCTTTGACTACATTTGATCAAGATAATTCAAAGTTATATATAAGTGAAGACTGTTCCCCAACTCCAAGCCCCACGAGGCGCGTAGTGACCCAAAATTGGACGCAGATGCTAATATACAAACGACTTCTTTTTAACTTCTTAAGTATCGGTAAAGGAATTTAAACCATTTTTGTCATTGGGCAAGGAACAAAATGTTTTATAAATGAAAATGTGCCCCTTAGTGTGGAGGTATGGGGCAAACAGGAGAAATTATGGCTAATCTTTAAATGTCTACCTATGAAGTACGGTTGGAGGGATATGGCATGAACTTACCTCATATAGGAAATTTAAAGTTGTGTTGTTGATGTGTGTGTCATGCCTGGGAGCAGAAGGACAGGGATATGGGGGTAAAACTTCCAAAGACCTCTTAATACCAATTGGCATACTTCATTCAATGGAAAATGTAAATGAAGGTTGTACCCCAATCAGGGGCGAAACCAATAGAGGGAACTGACGTAAGTCTTAAAACGACTACTATTCCAGACAAGATGAAGTTAATTTAACATCAATCAGCATGGATCATCTCTGTATTTAACATTGTTTGGTTGAGACATGTTCAACTTACCAAATGCAACAAATTCTCACATCCTGTTTTAGTTTCCTGGCAAAACAGGATGTGAGAATTTGTTGCATTTGGTAAGTTTAGACCTATTCTGACGTGTTCAAAGTTTAATCAACTCTAATGCTACCCCAAAATATGGAAAGTAGTAGAAGGGTGTAAAATACTCGCTATCGAAAACTCGACCCCATCTTATTTCCTTTCATCAATGATTACATTTCTAACTAATGTTCCAAAATGCTTGGTACTGTTAGAAAGATTGTAAAAGTTTCTTCCACAAATCTCATTTCTCCCCGTAAAATGCATTCTCCTTCATCTGATTTCTGTTTCTTACAAAACACAGCCTTTTCGGTGTTTCAAAGTTTGCACAGTCATACTGCTATTTTTTTGCCAATTCATGTAATTGACTTCATGCTCGTGCTAACACTTCTGGTAGCGCTAACACTTCTGGTAGCGCTTCCTTTGACTTGAAATTTAGGCTGTGCTGTGTTGCCAGGTCGGTGCTACCTAATTCATTGTCAACGAACACATCAAGATATTTGACCTAACGAAAGTTCGTCTTGTTTTTTCTTTACATCATGTTTCCTAGTTTCACTTTCCAGCCTCGCAATCCCCCTCCTTTATCTTTTGCATGATTCTAGTAATTTCGTGTGTTAGTAACTCGCACAGCCCAACCACCCCCTTGTCCATTTCACACCTCAATTATTCTAACCTGCTTAATTCTGTTGGTTGACCCGGTGGTGACTTAACCTTGTCCTTTCCTGTATTAATCTTTTTTTAAGTTTATGCACTATATTTTTTACAGAATCTGTCAATGGTGGCTGGTCTTCCTGGCTCAGTTGGACTCCCTGTACAAAAAGCTGTGATGGCGGTGTATCAAGAAGATATCGTTTCTGTAACAATCCACTACCTCAATATGGCGGCTCGTTTTGTCCAGGAGTATCCAACATCAAAATGGAATGTAACACCCAACCTTGTTTGTGTGAGTTGGTCAGAGAGCACTTAAAACAAACCCTAACGTAATCTAAACTCCATTGACGTCATCATTTACGTCATAGTTTGTGTGAGTTAACGTAATCTAAACTCCATTGTCGTCATCATTTACGTCATTGTTTGTGTGAGTTAACGTAATCTAAACTCCCTTGCCGTCATCACCCACGTCATAGTTTGTGTGAGTTAACGTAATCTAATCTCCATTGCCGTCATCATTTACGTCATTGTTTGTGTGAGTTAACGTAAACTAAACTCCATTGCCGTCATCACTTACGTCAAAGTTTGTGTGAGTTAACGTAATCTAAACTCCCTTGCCGTCATCACCCACGTCATAGTTTGTGTGAGTTAACGTAATCTAAACTCCCTTGCCGACATCAGTTACGTCATTGTTTGTGTGAGTTAACGAAATCTAAACTCCTTTGCCGTCATCACGTACGTCATTGTTTGTGTGAGTTAACGTAATCTAAACTCCATTGTCGTCATCAGCTACGTCATTGTTTGTGTGAGTTAACGTAATCTAAACTCCATTGTCGTCATCAGCTACGTCATTGTTTGTGTGAGTAAACGTAATCTAAACTCCCTTGCCGTCATCAGATACGTCATTGGTTGTGTGAGTAAACGTAATCTAAACTCCCTTGCCGTCATCAGCTACGTCATAGGTAGTGTGAGTTAACGTAATCTAAACTCCCTTGCCGACATCAGTTACGTCATCGTTTGTGTGAGTTAACGAAATCTAAACTCCTTTGCCGTCATCACGTACGTCATTGTTTGTGTTAGTTAACGTAATCTAAACTCCCTTGCCGTCATCAGCTACGTCATAGTTAGTGTGAGTTAACGTAATCTAAACTCCCTTGCCGTCATCACTTACGTCATTGTCTGTGTGAGTTAACGAAATCTAAATTCCCTGGCCGTCATCATTTACGTCATTGTTTGTGTGAGTTAATGAAATCTAAACTCCCTTGCCGTCATCACTTACGTCATTGTTTGCGTGATATAACGGTTTACAGATGAGAGTTTTAATATATATGTGCATGGTCAAACATAACAGTAAATCACAGATGACACCCTAAAGAAGCTGAGTGTAAAGGAGTTAGGTAAATGTGACAGTCTTTTCCTTGACATTTAAATGAATAAGTCATTTTCCTGATATTTAAATAAATACGTCTTTTCAAGCAGTCTTTCCCTAGAAATGAGAATAAAGCAGTCAGTTCAATTTTAAGTTTAATGAAGTAGCAAAGCTCTCTGACATTGACATGAAACAGACATTCCTTTAAAATTTAAATGTGAAGCAATTATTCTTAATAACTCGGTAAATCCCTGACATCTGAACGCAGCACTCATCTGACATTTAACTGGAACAGTTATCCCTTGAAATCTAAATATAGTAAATTATAACCCCGACATATGAATGAAGCAGTCATTCCTAACGATATTTTAACGAAACAATTTATTCATCCTGACATTTGAATGAAGCAATCATTCCCTCTGATATTTTGATAAAGCAACCATTCTTCTGACATCTGAATAAAGCAGTCATACTAATTATTTGTATTGTCTTAACCCTTTCACCACTGTAGACCATAATTGACTCATACAAATAAATGTATGGTAGAGTCTATTGAAGTTTTCTAGGGTTGAAAGGGTTAATATGACTTGAGCTCATTCGAAGCCGCAAATCTTTGACATCTGAATTGAGCGTCGATTTCTGGGCATCATTGATTTGTTTCAAGTTCACCTGGTCGAGAGGGCAAAGCGAGCTTATGTCAAATCGAGGCATCCGTCGGTTGACATAAAGTTTTTCTTAAAACATGCACTAGTTCAAAACGTAATAAAGATTTTGAATTGGCAAGTAAGCTATTGTTTATGAATACGGGGCGTAGCCTACAAGGGGCAGAGTGTTGGCCCAACAATAAGGAATGCATTTTAATCTTTAAAGGAATGCTTAAGTATGGAACGCCATAGCTGTCACATATGGCATAAAAATAC